AGTACCCTGCGATGCAAATTTTAAAATCTTTTGGTTTTGTTTGGGGTAAATAATTAAATTTGAACATTCAAGTTGAATTAAAGTTTGGGATTGCATGAAAATATCAGCATTTTCTAAGGTACAAACTACTGTCAAAACGCATAAAAATGTTTAAAAAAATGTTTGAAAGGCTTCTAAAAAGATACCTACATAAGAAAAATAAAAAAAATTTAGAAAAGATAACTAAAATAACTGACAAATAAAAAGTTTAGAAAGTCAAAGGAAAATCTTATGAAAGAGAAATTGTCAATAAGTATGACGTCATTAATTTAAATGATTAATTCCTTAAAAAGAAAGAATTATGTAAGAACTATATCATTGTAATTTAAGTAATTTTTTCCTTGATTTTAATTGCTTGTTATTAATAATACTAAATGAATTGTTATCCAATATAAACTCAGGTTAAACTTTGTAAAAGGTATAGTTTGATTTAGTAAAGTTGGATTTAGTGAATTGCCACAATGCCGAATCAAGAAAAAGGTTCACAATGAAAATTGAAAACTTGTTTGCTTGCTCTGTCTGAAAAAATGTTTAAGAAAGCTTACACGTGCCACTGCCCTTTAGGAAAAGGTTTGCCCCACCAATGCTCTCAAATAAAGTTAAGAGAAAACCTTCAATATTTAGCAACAATAGATGCCAGAGCAGTCAAACAAATTGCATCTCGAGTTTATTTCTAATAAAAAATATCCCATGCAGGAACTATTCAACTTGCAAAAGCATCTGGCAGGCTTCCACTCATAATTACCCTAGGTAAATAATTATACTTAAATATTTTGAAACATATATTCAAAAACAAGTTAGAAAAAAAAGACTAGTTTTTTTCTGGAAGTATGTTTTTAACAAGTTTCAAATCACTTTAAAAATAAAAAATTTTAAAGTTTTGAACAAACTTCTGAACAAGGTTAAATATAAAGATAAAATATGTATGCTTTTATTTCAGATCAATATAGTGCCCAGCCACTATCAAACGCTCCAAAAATCTAGCTTTTGTAAATGTACAGTTAAATACAGGTTTATCTGACAACGGATTAAAGAAACTAGTCAAAACTGTAAAGATCAAGTAACAAAATGTTAGAGCCAAATTTTTATAAGAAATTATCAAGAGCAGGCAACACTTGAATGAGTTTTTAACCTGGAATGACTTATCAACGGAAAGTAGATACTTTCCGTTGATAAGTCAGGTTAAAAACTCATTCAAGTTTTACTTTACTTATCTGGTACAGTTCGGGTTGTTGCTCCAAGCAATGATATTTCAAGTCTTGACAGTTATGTTATTGAATCTTACAAAATTTCTGGTGGATATTTTCTTCAGCTCGAAATTGATGGTGGTAAAGGTTTCTTAAGTTTTGTCTGAGCATTGTTGATACTGCATTAAGAGTTGATACTAGCTCACCACGTCAAAAACAACCTCTCACTCAAGGGACTTGCAAAGACACAAGAATTTATTTATTTATTTTTTTTTCAGAGACAAAAGAAATAAAATTTTTGGTCTTCAAATCCATTTAAGTATGCATCCTTGTACAATTCTTGCCATATATATAAACTTATCAATCATCTTTTCAAGATACTTAAAAATGCTTGGATTGACGCTGTTTTGGAGGCCAGTTCAAAGAAAATGAATTTAAGAAGCTTCTGAAAAATGTGGATGTGCTCCAGCAACTTGCTAATACAAACTCGATTCCCAACATTCGTTACATTCACTTATCCTTCAGCCGGATTTTGTTGAAATAATTAAAAATTTCAAAAGGTGTCACTTAATGATAAGTGATGTAAGCGTAACACCTAAAAATCACATCATCTCCTACCACATTAAAAATTTCATATTTGGAAAGGATCCCCTTTGGGACCCTATAGAGAACAAACTGTCGATACTGCTCATCAAGACTTAAATAAACACTAATCAAGGTATAAACAAAACAATGATCATCCAGAGTACAAAGTAAGATTGTAATGATGCATAACTGATCTGAACAGTAATCGCCTTTAAAAAACTGCTACCACAACTCGGTTTATCAGATAATGAACATTTTAACTATTTTACCTTAACTGCTGTTAGTAATTATTAATTTTAACATTGCATATAAAAATATTGAAGAGTATATGAGTAAAAAATTATATTAAGATATTTTGAATAAATTTCTTGTGGAGAAAATAAAAGACCATGTCTTACAATTTAATCACATGCTATTTGATGGAAATATAATGTAAAAAATATGGTTTGAATATTTATTTTTTTACTTCATTTTGAAAATCAATGTATTTGAAAAGGTTTCAAGGGGCAATAAAAATTCTTTTAGCAGAAATGTTTTTTTTTATTTTACCAATTATTTTTATACTTTTTTTTGCACTACTTTTTGCAATTTTGCAGAAGTTTTACACGGTCGTTAAAATACTAGGGAAAAGCGTTAGTTTAGGTACGCATGTGCCAGTTTTTGGTAAAAATTTAGAGCTTTTAAAATGGCTGCGGTTCTTAACTACAGAGTAAATTTTAGATGACAACCATTTAGTTGCATTTTTTTGGTGTGCTGTTCAGTATTTTGAACTTTTTTTTTTTTAAATCAATAAACAAACGTCATTTTTTTAGTATTAGGCAATTAATTAAAGTCTAAAAACAAATTAAGATGCGCATAGTTGTATTTCTGTGAAAGCTATTTTGCTGTAGGAGAGCGAGTTGTTTATATTTTTTTAAATAAATTTTCAGAATTTCTAACTGTACGAATTTGAAAATTTTTTCTTCTACTTCTTTATTGTTCTTTACTTTATAGCTTTTTTATTTTTTGGTTTTTGCTTAAATTTAATTTTGGCAGAAAAATGTATTTTTATCGTTTGAGTAGTTAAGTGCTAAGATTTTTTTTATAACTTTGTTCTGGTGCATTTTACACGATCATGTTATAAAAATAAAGAGAAAAAAGTAACATTATACATTTTTACAAAAATAAACTAAAAATAACTGTTGCTATATAAAAAAGATTATGTAGCTAAGAACCGCAGCCATTTTAAAAACTCTGAAATTTCTATAAACTTCTGGCACATTAGGGCAGGTCGATTTTGGAATCAGAGGTTTGGTAATAAAGAGATTTGATTATTATGTGAAAAAAACGTGCCTTGTAAAATTTTTTTTGTTTTAATGAAGTTTAAGTTGAGCTAAAATGATTTTAAATATTGATATATTTACAGTCATTCTGGGTAACTTTGAATTTGCGGGTAACATTGAACTAAACGTGTAAATGTTTTTAAATTTTTTTTTCTTTGGTATTTTCTTTGCCTGTTGCTTTAACAAAGAATAATATGATGAATTATCTTTTTTTATAAAAGTTTGATCAAAGAAAATTAAATTTTTGCTCCTCAAAAATAATGTTTTCCTCCATTTCCAGTTACACAGTCGAATGTCGTGATAACATCGTGTGTTTTCAATTTAGAATATTTGGTATTATATTGTAATTATCTGAATAGATTTTTAAGTATTTTATTGAATTATTTTTCGAACTTTAATACAAACTCAAAATAATAGGATTTAACATGTTTTTTGCTACAAAAAGGATATTTATTTCCACTTAGCTAAAATATAACCAAATTCAGGGTAACTTTAGACAATCAATATTTTCCAAAAATGCTTTTTTTGCTGTCTGAGTAACATTGCAATAATACATAATAAATAATAGGCATCTTTTTTATTATAGTATTTTTATTATATAATGATATATGATATTATAAATATCAAAAATTATAATATCTATTACTAATATATTAATTTTTGATATTTATGGCTATCTTGATAGATTTAATAATATATTTTATTAATAGCAAATATGTGATTAATTAAATAATTTTTATTAATAACATAAATCATCTTTATATTTTTAGCATTCATAAAATGCCAAGAAAATGTTCGACAACTCATCCTGGCACAAGAAAATATGGCACTAAATCTAATTACACCAATTCTACACTTCAAGAGGCTTTAGCCAAAATGAAATTAGAAAAAATGTCGATCGGTGAAGCTTCTGAAATTTATAAAGTACTTAAAGCAACATTATTTTACAAGCTAAAAAGTAAACACTGTAAATCAGTAGGGTACCCTATTGCCCTTAGCATTGATGAGGAACTTTGTTTTGAAAATCACTTACTTTATTTAAGTGACAAAGGTATACCAATTGGAATTAATGATTTTAAAAGTATTGTCAAAATCTATCTGGATGATAGTGGAAAAAATATACAACAGTTTAAAGATAACCGACCAGATTGGGAGTGGTGTAAACTTTATCTTGACAGGCAACCATCATTAAAAGAAAAAGTATCTCATTGTATTTCAAGGAAACGTGCACAGATTAATTATTGTCAAATAAAATTATTTTTGCAAAATCTAGAGAATGAATTAAATGGAGTAACGCCAGATAACATTTACAATATGGATAAAACAGGGTTTCATGATGACCCTGGAAAAAAAAAACTTATTTTTCGTCGATCCTCTCGCCATCCAGAACTTATAAGAAAAAATAACTGACAAATAAAAAGTTTAGAAAGTCAAAGGAAAATCTTATGAAAGAGAAATTGTCAATAAGTATGACGTCATTAATTTAAATGATTAATTCCTTAAAAAGAAAGAATTATGTAAGAACTATATCATTGTAAAAAGTTACATTGTTGTTTTTTGTCGAAATGCCTCAGGAAAACTAATTCCACCATTTTTCATTTTTAAAGGAAAACACAGTTGGTCTGACTGGCTTTTCAATGCACCAGAAGGATCAAGAATGGCAACTTCTTGCAGTGGCTGGATGGAAATTCAAATATTTGAAGAGTGGCTGTTAAATCACTGTTCCAAATATTATAAATAAGGAAGGTAAAAAAATTCTGATTTGCTATAATTTAAGTGCTCATATATCTTTAAAAGCCTTAAATATATGTGAAAAGCATAATATAACATTTATATGTTTGGTACCCAATTCCACACACCTTTTACAACCTTTAGATGTTGGATATTTCTCGAGTTTAAAAGCTAATTGGAGGTCAGTTCTTAATCAATGGCGTAAAACATCCAGAGGAAAAAAGGTTAATAACCTGCCAAAAAATTTGTTTACGCAGCTCATTAAATCTACTCTTAATGTTGGTAAAGAAAATCTAGAACATAATCTCCAAGCAGGATTTAAGGCTACTGGCATATATCCATTTGTACCAGAACATGTTCTCTCCAAATTACCCAGTTTTACTAATATAGATATTCAACTCAATATCGGAGAATCGTTTAGGAATTATGTTGATGATATTCATCTTAATTATGAAGTAAGCAAAAAAATTAAGTTACCAATAACAGCAGGGGGAAAAGTGTATCAGCCACTGAGGTAGAAGCATACTATAAGGAAAGAGACAATAAAAAAAAAAGTCAAGATAATATTCGAGCAAAGAAAAGAGGAAGACCACTTGGATCAAATAATATGGTTATGAAAATAAACAAAAAACTTAATATTTTACAAAGATCAAGCATCGTAAATGTTAATCAAGTTATTGAAGACAATGAACAAGTTTTACCTGTATCTCAAAATGATGCAGTTTTTTCATTGGAGCAAATAAACAATCACTATGTACATGTTTTCCTTGATCATGATTATTTTGTAAAAGAGTTAGTTGTAACTCAAGACTAAAATAATGAAACACTCTAATATTTAGTTTTATAGTCAATGGTGTTTATTTGTGGAGAATTATATAAAAATAATGTTTTAAAAAATTAATTAAACTAATAAAAAGAAATTTAAACAACTTTTTAGATTTAAAAGATTAAAATTGACATTCAGTTTAATAGTGTTCAAAGTTACCCGAAATGCGAGGGTAACTTTGAACGCTTACTTAAACATTGTTTTTTTTACATAATATCTAGCAAATTTAAAAAAATGATAACAAACTAGAAAAAAGAGATCATCAGAACACCCTTTATGTAAAAATATTTGTTATCAAGTTAGTAAAACAATTTTTGTAGAGATAAACCTAGCGCAAACCGTTCAAAGTTACCCGTAATGACTGTAATTAAAATTTTTTTTGCTACGCCATCTTTACCACTAACATTTTCATATAAATTAAAGATTGCCGCGCTTGCGCAAAGTAAATAAATCCTACAATTGTGTGGGAAAAAGAAAATTTTAGAGGACGAAAAATAATGTTTTCAGACAAGCGTAAAAAACGAAATTTTTTACGCTTGTCTGAAAACATTATTTTTCAATTTCCAAATCATGATTATTTTTTCTGAAAACATTATTTTTCAATTTCCAAATCATGATTTGATTTTTCAGCTATAAGTTTTACAATTACGCTTTAGCGTAATTGTAAAACCAAAACTCGACTACCATTAATGTCCACTTATTCAATACACAATAAGTTATTGTGTAGAAAAAAAAGTCGGAGTACTTCTAAACATATCTAGGTTAATTAACCGAAGTAAGTGCAAAGTATTAAAAGAAAAAAATGCTTCTAAAAAATTGGATATGCTTTTTGATATCAGTTCCTGCACATGTGATCTTAAAGTTGATCTTTGTGATGATAAAAATATAAAATGTAGTCAAGATAATTGTCCTGATACTCATATTTTATGCACATGTAGTCCAGATAAAAAAGTACTTATCTTTTAATAACAGATAAATAAAATTTTCTTTTAATAAATAAATAATTATCTTTTAATAATAGATAAATAAAATAAAAATATTTTTAAATAAAATTAACATAAGTATATTACTAGTATGATAAAATTTAATACTTTAAATTTTATATGCAGTTGTTCAATATTATCAAATAATATTTTGATTCCTGTAAAAGAAAGGTTATATTTAAAAGACCAGAGAGAAAAGTAAGGTCCAAAAGGATCATTTCAACTTGGCTCAGTAGATCGTGAATGGTCTAGAAAAGAATCTTTAAAGAAACATAAAACTGAATATAAAAATGTGGAAGAATCATTACAAGAAGAAAAATTTAATTTACTTACAGAAATAGTATTACCAGAATCTGACTCAGAATCTGTCATTTTTAGCTCTAGTGAGGCAATTGAATAATAAATTGAAATTTGGTTCACTATTTTATATTTTTTTAAATTTACTTTTTTTTTTTAACATATCACTTTTTTATATTAAATTTTTTTTTTTATGAACTTCATAACTTTTTTTAGATATGGGAGCCTGAAAGAAATCCATTGGGAATTTACAATCTTTGGAACTTTCCAAAGTTTGCTATTGAATTAATCAGGAACGATATAGGAAGTTCGATTGGAGCTGCATTAGGAAATGCTCTTATGCTCGATCTATCAGGAATGTTTAATGATCCAGCAATAATATCAACTTTAGTTTTAGACAAATCCAAAATAGGCTGACAAAAAAAGTCAGTCAAAGTATTGTCAGACTTAAAATCTGTTGAAAATAACAGAGAGTTTATTTGCCTTGTTGTTGACGGTAAAATTGATATCAAAACTTTAGTTATAAGAGAAATAAAAAAAGAAGATAGTGAGGTTGTGTTAAAGAGATCAACAGAGAAAGAACATCTCATGACTGTGACTAAAGAACTTCTCCCTAACCTTTACAGTGGGGAGTATCTTACTCACAAAGTTTTACCTCTTGTTGTAGGCAACAGGAAAAAAGCAAACTCAGTGTCTAAATGAAGTTCTTGAAGAGTATGATTCTTTAAACACTCTAAAAGCAGTTTTGGTAGACAATAATTCAACAAACACAGGCCATAAAGCAAGAATGGTTGTGGAGTTAGAGAAAAACTTGGAAGAAAACTTCAGACTATAGGCTGCAATCTTCATCAGAATGAGCTTCTTTTTAGATCTTTGTTTAAAAAAATTGATGGAGCAACAAATTCACTAAACTATTTTGCTGGACCAATAAGTAAAATGGCAAATATCAATAATGAGCTTAATTTAGTTGTTAATTTTGGTGTTATTAAGTCTCTAATTATTATTTTAGAAAAAGAAATTTTAGACGATTTAAGTAGTGACCAAAGCTTTTTATATGAATATTGCATTGGAATTGCCTCTGGAAATATGAGTGTTAAATATTCAAGTTGGAAAATTAGTACTCAAATTTTGTACTCAATGTTAAAGTCAGAAGAAATATATATAAAATCAGTAGCAATGCAGACATTACTTGATATTAGAAATCGTAAAAAAGTTGGCCAAGCTATAAGCAGAACCAATAAAATTCCAGAAGTTAACATTGATGCTCATATATGGTATGAGCTCATAAATATTTTTGATGAAGACATAGATGAACGAGCAACAACTCAAGATTTTACAATGAAGAGATTGCAGAAAAGTTGTTGTCTGGAGAAAAAATTGACCTCCCAGATCTTCCGTCACATTCACAGAGCGTTGAGAGATCCGTACAACTTGTTTCCATGGCTTCTCATACTGTTTTTGGAAAGGAAGCACGTTATAAGCATATTTTAGCAAAAGTTCTAAGCAGAAAGCATAGAAAGAGTTTTATGTCTAAATGTTATTATGGTGAGACATATGATGATATTTTTTGATAACTTAAAAACTAATTTATTGCTACTTGTATATGCTACTTGTATACTTGTATAAAATAAAATTTAACAAAAATGTATAATAATTTTCGAGTTAGTCATTTCCTCGCGTGGTTGAACATTGTTAAAATAATTTCTAAATAAATAAAAAGATCTTTTTTAAAAGCATTTTTTTTTTAATGAAATCTTTTATATAATTTCATCTTTTGACAGTTATTTCAAAGGTTTTCAATAATCATTATTAAAATTTAACATATTGGGTAAATTTAACTTATCTGAAATAATTAGGATAGTTTTCTATTTTACAATAATTCGATTATATAACCCAGGCGTCGGCATCTTATTTTATGTAGTGAGGTTTTTCCTAAAATAATTAAAATATATCTTCCTTAAATAATTTTAAAAAAAGAGCCGCAGGATTACAATTTAAGTATGTTTGAAATATAGTTTTAAATCAAAATATTATGTAATTTGGACAGACTGGAGAGCCACGGAATATAAATAACTGAGTAGCATGAGACTCGCGATCCACTTGTTGCTGATCCCGATATAACAAATTTTCTACATTTGAAATTAGCGTTTTTTTTATAAAATCCGGACCAGAATTTACAAAAGCAATTTGTTAAAGTATTAATATCTAAATAGACAAAAATTTTTTTTTTTGATTTAGAGTACTTTATTTTGTTTTTCTTTAATTCTAGGTAACTTTCAGTCTTTTTACTTTTTATTTATTTTTTTATATGTAAACTAGTTGGGTCCTAAATTTACAATACAACGCTGCAGTAATGTTACGCAGAAAGCCTTTGTGATATTTACACTATACATAAGCCAATTCAAGCCACACTCCAAATATCAAATCAATGTAGCTATAAAACAGTTATAATAAAAATAGTTGATTTGACATAGTAGAACACTCGTGTAATCTGTAACGTCCTGAGTTCTAAGTAGCAAATTAGTCAGTAAAGTAACTCAAGTAATTGGTAACTCCTGAGTATTATATGTAACTCCAAAGTAACTCAAGTAATCGGTAACGTCCTGAGTTCTAAGTAGCAAAAAAGTAACAAAATATAAACTGCCATAAATCTTTAACCAGTAAACTAATCCAACTGAAATTTTAATCAGAGATGTGGCCAAATGCTACATTTGCACTAGTTTTAATCAAATTATATGTAGTGGTTCTCATTCTAAAGATATTTTTTTTCACATTATAAAGTCAAAATTTCACTTAGTTTGCACATTCAAATTAAATTATTTTCTGCGGATAAAATTAAAAGATTTTAAAATTTGAATCACAGTGGACCTTGATGTGCCCGCTATGACTTCATATAAGTGACGTTCGTGGGTCAGCCAAGTTGGAATTATCTGAATCTTTACTAATCGGCTTTTGCCAAAATACGATATTGGTAAGGAAAGGTGTGAATGTTCGCATGAATAGCCTGCTCATTTCTATTTTGACATAATAAGTTTTTTTTGCTTTATTCGTTTTTTATTAATTCTTTATTAAATTAGTTTTTAACTCTTTTGCTTCTTGTACTTTTTGCTTTTTCTGAAATTTTTTAGATACAATATGATCAACATTATCAACCATCATCAATCGCACATTTTGATAATTAGTAATAAAAGATATAAATAGTTATATAAACTGCTGCAGTTACTAAAAGAACTAAAAGAAATCAAATAAATTTAAAAAAAAAAAAACTAAAAGAATGTACATTTATAACGAAACGTTACGATTGAGAATAGCCAAAATTTTAGCTTTCTCAACAATAAAAAAACAATTTTATTACTTAATATAGGTCCTCAATGTGAAATATAAAATATCATTTTGTGAAGTGTACTTATTTTTTCGATAAGAAACTAAGCGAGTGGTCAGATACTAGAAAGTTTCTTATTTTAAGAGTTTCAATTTTCCTAATCCAGTTTTAAAAGTTTCTTAAGTACCTTAAGAAAATTTACTAAAAAAAAAAAATTTTCAAACCTTGCATAACTTAAAACATACTATCGTAGAATCCAAAAATGTAAATATCTTCTTACAAAAAAAAAAAAAAAAAAAAAGACCAAAAATGACATTTTTATTTAAGCAGGGTGACTTTTTTAATCCCTTGCAACGTTCATAGCAACGTCAAAACAGGGAACTTTTAACTATTCTAAGCATCCAAGCC